GACGTAATCAATGGCGATGAACATGGTGGTGTGTTCGTTTTCGAACAACTGCCTGAAGAAGTCGCAATGAACCCGACGTCATTGTCGCTCAGCATCAGGTCCTTCTTCAGCATCGCCTTCATTTCGGCACTCGACTGTCGCCGTCTGCGCTGGTCGCTCGAATCAGAGGCGGTCGTTGGCGGCTCGTACGCGTCGTAGTGTTCGACGAAAATCACTGGCAACATATCGCTGGCGCCGTCAATCTCCTCACAAAACACCGCCAATGGAGGAATCGACGTATAATAAGCTGAATGGCGTAGTTCGTCAAAGACCCGTTCATATTCTTTGTGCACAACTCTGCAAGTTACCGAACACGCATCAGTTTCACAGCAAAAGACCATGGGTTTTAAGTGCAAACGAGTAATAAACGACCAGCCTTAAAACTACTACTTCAGCGAAGAGATTGAGTACAAGGCACGGATGCAAGCATATGAGAAGGCAGAATGCAAAAGTAATTTCATAAAAAGTTAGAGATCGAAAAAACACGTTCTTTGTCAGAGAATTACAACTACACATCGGTTTCATGGCAGACATATGATGTGAACAATCATTACCGTACTTCGGAGCAAATCAGAATGTTCTCGAGGAAGTTCTCACAGTAGAAAAAAGCTTCCGCGAAACGTCTTACCTAAGCGAAAGAAAAACGTCAGTCATCAACGAAAAATAAATAAATAAAATCTCAAATTTAATATTCATACGTAGGCTAACACATCCAGTCAAAATATCATTATATTTCTACGAAAGGTGTACATTCTGATGATTTACAGGTCCTCACAGGTGGAGAAATATACAAAAAGAAAAAAGATTTGGTTCCCTGCATTCGTATTTCCTAAAAACAGGAGTGAAAAAGACGCAGTGCCGACGGGTTCAGTGTTCATTGACAGACCCAGTGCTGGTGTGATCAGCACTGACTGAAAACATCCGCAACTAATATTTAGCCAACTAATCTTAGTGCAGCTGAACGATCACGTTAATAGGTGGCTGCCGGAGTACCAAACGAAGTCTTAGAATCATCCTGGCCTTCTTTGCGTAACCTTAGATAAGGAATAGCGTATGGTTTAACCATCGGTAACCGGCATTTTCCCTTACGAACGCAATGACACCAATAGTTGGAATATGTGAAAAAGACTGAATCACATGTCGCATCTCTACAAAGTTCGGTTCTGATCAGAAAGTCACTCGCTAAGATCATATCCCATTACAACGCACTTAATGCAGAATTATACAACGTGTGATGGTCATTTCCTATAAAGGATGATTCGTTCCATTTGTCTGGTCTGTGCGGGGATTCCGTTTACTATACAGGATATTAATACATTTATGGCGCAGTAGCAAAGTGTTTAAAAAGTAGATTTCTTTAAAATGAGGAGGTGCAAGGTAAACGTAAAACCTTTGTTTTAAGCACAAATTCTCTTAAACAAGGAATTAATTACAACTTGCTTCACTGCAACTAGTTGGTCTAGGGACTTGTAAATAATATGGGTAACATGGCATTTTGGTCTGCTCATGCCAGAACGAAAGAAGCACTCAACTACACTGTCCAATGCGAGTACATTTTGTAGCACAATCCGTCTTGATCAATTTGACTGCTAACTATACAGCGGAGTAATCGGAACAAGGTGAAACACTGATTTAGATTTACTAGAACCTCACAACGACTCTGAAAGGATAAATATGTTTGCTACCAGCGTTACAAGCTGCTGGAGGCTTATTCTTCTTCTCCACAGAAGCAATGCACCCATGTGAAT